GCAGCTTAGACAGGAGGAAGTATCAGTGTGTCCCCACCTGCAGCAGCCATTGTATAAATATACCCAGACAATATATGGGGGGAGGGGGGGTTCAATTCCTGTTGGGTTGTCTTCATCTCATTCTATAAGAGAGAAAGGCTTAAGTCATCCTTAGTTTTCTCGGTGTTAAAACTATTATTTTGCTCTTAAACCAACAATATCCAGGACAGCTGCAAGGGGTGTAAAATCTGTTATGCTCGGTCAGCCTACATGGGAGGCAAAGTTGGGCAACTGACGGTGACCAAGAACAGGCAGCAGAGGCTGTGTAGCTTACTGTCAATTCATGGATGAAGAGCCCTTCAACTTAGCAGTGGGGAAAGGCCTTCAATTATCTTTCAGCTGCAAAGTAAAAGAAAAATAATGATAAAATGCTAATCACATATACATGCACCAACCCCCTCCCCACCCCCTCACTAAGAGCTTTGCGGATTAATCTCACATTCTGGTTTCATTGTGAGATTATACTGAACAGTCTATTCAGAGAGCTTTAAAAAGGCACCAGACTAGAAGTTTCTTGAACATTATTCAAAACACCTGCCCTCTCTTCAGGATCAGAGGCTATGTGTGTCTGAATGCTAGCTACCAGGGAACAGTTAGGATCTGCTTCTGAGCTGTTGTCCTGCTCATAAGCATTCAAGAGGGACCTGGTTGGCTTTGGTACAAACAGAATCCTGATTTAGATGAGTCCTTGGTCCAATCCAGCATGCTTGTTCCTAGATTTTAGGCCTTTTCTTATATTTTTAACCCTGGCCTTAACTTTCAGCCAGTTATGTGGTCTTTGGCTAATCATTGCTGTCATCCTTGTGCTTCTTTCGCAGTATGGGAATGGTAATAACACTGATCTATCATATGGGGCCAATGGGATGATGTGAAATGATGTAAGGTCAGGCATGTGCTGGTTCAGTTCTAGCTAAAGTAGGAGTGTGGCAGCCTGGTCTCCATCACATAAAGCTTGTATCCAGATGAACTCGAAGTACAAATCTTGGAATTCTCAGCCAATAGTTGTAGTTTCAGCTCATCTGGAAGACAGCAGTTTTGTTTATTTGTTCAGATGTGTCACATTTGCTCTTTGTTTCAAAGCATATTTGAGTCTGTGTGCATTTGTGTGTGTGAATGTGTATGTGTGTGTGTTTTTAAAAATTTTTAAAAGCACATTTTTAAAAATTCACCAATTGTCAGGCCTAGCCCAAGGAACTCCAAGAAACAATGCAAATTCAGTTCAGCTTTGTTTAT